TTTGTGTGGCTTCCCCCGTCATAAATGCAGTGAGCAAGAACTCATCAAAGGCAGGGCTGCAGCCAACCTGTGATTAAGGGGGTGGGGATGAAGAACGATTCTTTGCAAGAGGTGGGAAGGAGAGTTAGCTCAGGCTCTGGGGGTGGAGGTGGTCTTAGCCACCTCCTTTTCTTTCTGTCTAGAGGATGACAAAACATAGGTACACTTGACTCTGCAATCTCTGTTCACGGTGATTAGTGATGGGATTTGGCTGTGTGGTTTGTGAGAACTCGGGATCATAGCTTGGGCCTGGTTCTAATGCACCAAATGGCCTCAGTTTGGGGTTGTCACCCCAGTGGAAGGGTTCCACCAGTGCCGTCCTTCCAAACAGGACATCCAAGGCCATTGTCAGCTTCCTCCGCCCCTGGCATCCTTCTCTCCCATTCTGTCACTCAGTCCTACATCCACTGACTGTTGCTCAAATGTTCCTCTACCCGTCTTCCCTTTCCTCCAGCCTGCTGGTAACAGTGGGGATGGTTCCAAGTGCTCTGTATAGTTTGAACCACTGGTTCTTCACAACAACAGTATGAAGTAAAGTAGGTGCTATTTTAATCTTAATTTTGTAAGTTATTATGGCAAAGTACAAATAAATAAATGGTCCAGGTCACAGAAATAGTTAAGTAGTAGACCCAGATTCACATCGAGCAGCCAAGGCTAGTGACCTTCATCCATCCCCAGAGCTTCCACCAGCAGCCGCTGCTGCTCTAGGCTCTACCCTGACTTTTTTTCCACAAGTCCTGCACAGGTCCCCAGGGGCTGGTGTCACTGTGGCATGCTGGTTCCCACTGTGACTATACAGCCTGCCCTTCTAGAGGTGGGTAGGTTAGCTGGGCAGGATTCTTCAGTTCCTCCACTACAGCCCCCTAGAAATGTCACCATCAGCATCTTTGCTGAGTGTTCTCCTCAGGTCAAGCTTTCATGCTGTCTCAAACACTTTCAGTTCAGATCCTTATATACATTTCTCATGTCCCTCTGTGGAGCTCTAATTCTGTTTGCCTAGAACGCTCTCTGCTAAGCAGATGCATCTCAGTGGGTTTTCGGGTACAAAACCACAATCCAGGGATGGATGCTTTCCTGACATCCAGTGGATTTATGAAGTGCATGCTGGATGCTGGAAGGAATCAGGCTTGCTCTAGTGCACGTTAGCACAGTGGTGGTAGTGATTATGAAGTTGTCAGTGATCATGAAATGATGATGATAAGGTTATGGTGTTGATGATTGTCTTAGTTTGTCTCTCCATTGCTCTGACAAAATACTCTGACCACTACCAACTTGGGGAGGAAAGGGTTTATTTGTCTTACATCTCCCAGGTCACAGTTCATCAGGGAGCCCAAGGTAGGAACTTAGGGCAGAAAGCTGGAGTCAGGAGCTGGAGCGCAGGCCATGGAGGAACACTGCTTACTGGCTTGCTTCTCTGGGCCCTGCTCAGCCTGCTTTCTTATGCAACACAGGCCCACCTGCCCAGGGGTGGCACCACCCACAGTGAGCTGGGCCCTCCCACACCACTCAACAATCAAGAAGGTGCCCCATGGACATGGCCACAGGCCAATCCAATGAAGGCAATTCCCCAGTTGAAGCTCCCTCAACCCAGGTGTGTGAAGTTGACACTAAAGCACCCAGTACAATAATGGAGATGATAGAGGTGATGATGGTTGTGGTAGTGGTGGGAATGATGATGAAAATGATCGATTCAATGATGATGATAGTGGCCATGGTGGAGGTTATGACAGAGATATGATGGTGGTATTGATGATGGACATAATGGTGATGATAGTGATGTTGACAATGGTGAGGATGATGATGATTTCACCTATAAAACTACAACCCCAAATAAGATCATGTTAATAGCGATTGGAATAGATCTGTCTCCATTATCAACATGACTGAATTGGGGGTCTCCCAGGAGACACACTTCAGTGTACATGAAGGGATGTTTAATTAAAGAGGGAAAGGCTCACCCTGAATATGAGTGGCACCACTGCATAGCCAGGGGTCCTGGACTGAATATAAAGGAGAGAGGAGCCCCGAGCACTGGCATTCATCTCTCTCTGCTCCCTGACTGTGAACCCAAAGTGACCAGGCAGCTCACTCTTGCCGCCATGCCTTCCTGGCCATGATGGACGGCACCCTCAAACTGTAGCCAGAAGAGACCCTTCCTCCCTTAAGTTGCTTTTGTCATGAACTTTGGTGCAGTATCAAGAAACATAAGTCACAGGGACTGAAGGTTAGGACTGCAGCGTCTCCCTGGCAGACAGGTTCAGACTGGTATGGTGTAGTTGATCACAATCTTTACTGCCCTTACCTCTGGTTGGATTCTCTTCTACTACTGTGAAAACAAATCTGCTTTCTTGGAGTAGACCTTGAAAAATGCACTTGGATCCCAGCTCTTGTGGTCTCTTTAGAGACAGCCATTTTTGTCACCTTCCTAGTACGGCTGCTATGCAGAGCCACTGATATTTAAGCCAGTCTGTTGACTTCTTGCCCAGTATGAACAAGTTGGTTCTCAGGAATCAGAGGAGCTTTTTCAGGATTCACGGAGAACTCAGACTTCCTGTTGGTACTTATCAGAATTCAGGATTCAGGAGGTTTAGAGCAGGAGACCTGGGTTGGTTCCTTGATCTCTGGACAGAGTCCCAGGCATCTCAGGCGCTGTGTGTGGTATTCTGCTTTCATTCAGGTTCCAGTGAACTTCTGGACTTAAATTCTCCTTTTTAATTTATTTTTAACGTGTATGAGTGTATTGCCCGCATCCATGTAAGTGCACCTGCGTTGTGCAGTGCCCATGGAGGTCAGAAGAGCGTGTTGAATTCCCCTGGAACTGGAGCTCTGGATGGTTGATAGCAGCATGTGGGTGCTGGGAATCAAACCCAGGTCCTCTTCAGGAGCACCCAGTGCTCTTAACTGCTAAGCCATCTCTCCAGCCATATGGTCTTTAAGTCTTATTCCTGCTAACCTGACTTTGACATCAGAAGATGAAGTTCATTTTGAGTTGAACTTACTATCACAGTGTGATGATCAGTGTTGTTGACTTGATATGATCTAGAATCATCGGGGAGATGGGCCTCTGGGCATGCTTGTGGGAGATTACCTCGATCCATTAACTGAGGTAGGAAGACCATCCACTGTGGGTGGGGCTGTTCTGTGGCTGGGATCCTGGACTGTATAATTGGAGTGATGGATGTGAGCGGTAGCATGTGTTCACCCCATGACTGTGGATGTGATGTGAGTAGCTGCTTCAAGCTTCTGCTGCCTTAACTTCCCCATCATGATGGACTGTGCCTTGAACTCTGAGCTAAAATAACCTGTTCGCCCTCGGGTTGTCTATGTTACAGTATTTTATCACAGTAACAGGAAGAGAAACCAAAGGCCTACAGGTCATCTTCTCCAACAGCAGCTTCTGAGGCAGAGATGGGTGTATTTGCCAGTGTGGAGGGAGTTAGCAGCTGGTCCAGACCTGCTGTCCTTGGAGTGACCCCAGGCTGGAGTCTGAGAACTCTGGTGTCAGGAGAATTCCTACCACTCCCCCAAACTGAGATGCACGGCTTGCTATGACTAATGTTTGTTTTACAAAAATACAATCTGAGCCAGGCGCAGTGGTATACGCCTTTAATACCAGCACTTAGAGGCAGAGGCAGGTGGATCTCTGTGAGATGGAAGCCAGCCTGGTCTACATAGAGAGTTCCAGGCCAGCTGGAGCTACAGGGAGACCCTGTCTCAAAACAAAAACAAACAAACAAAAACAATCTGTACGGAGCACCTGCTTTCCTCCCGGGAGCCTTGTCCGTGCAGAGCAGAGTGGATGAAGGGCTCATCCTGCAGGGATGCTCTGCATGTGACCTCTGCTGAGCCTCCCTGGCAGACAGGATTGCTTACTCACTCGTTGTGACAGCTCCTTGCTGAGGGGTTAGGTATGCCTGTCCTGGGGACCTGTTCTGGGTCGGGACTCTCAGAAGCTCGTGCCTCGTTTGCCTTGGCTAGCTCACCTTCATCTCTTCTTCTCTTTTCTGATTCTGCCTTGTGTCTTTAGGCTGTAGTAAGTCAGGGCCGTGAACGGAAGGACTTTGTGCTGAGTCTCTGTGGCTTCTCCCCTCGCCCATCCGTAAGCACCAGGAAGAGAAGGGGAGGAGTCAGGATTGGGCTGTGATGGGGCTGATAAAGCCTCAGACAGTCTGGAGGAAGCTTGGAGCAGGTGTCCTCCACCAGTGCCCCTCACCAGACTGAAATGGGTGTCTCCTAAGCTCTGCTGTTAGATGTGGCTTGTCCCTGGAAGGGTGTGATATTAAGTGGTTGGCTCTCTGCCACTGATTCTGATGTTGAAGCTGGAGGCTGACCCTCCTGAAGCTGTCCTCCAAGTCCTTCCTTGGATGGGGACCTGGGTGACCCAGCTCCTTATCTACCATCATGCAAAACCTCCAAATGCTTTTGTGCCACCCATCAGACTGCAAGACTGCCCAATACCCAGCTGACCTCCCACAGTGATGGATACCCATCATGTGTGTCCTTCACTGCATTCCTGTGGTCTTGGCACAGGGGAATCATAGTTTTGGGGTTTAGCTCACCCCCCTGGGATCTCTCCCTCTGTAGAATTCTGCCCCCGAGTCTTGATAAACATCCCAGACCCTTAATGCTGTCTTAAATTAATGCGACTTGGATTTGGGAGCTTGCGTTCTTGAGTGTCTGTGAAATGCTAGCTTGGGCTAGACAGCCCTACTGTGTGTATCCCACACATTGATACACCTATCCTTTTCAACACATAAGAAAACAGACTCAGAAAGGATCAGGTGTTGGGTGACCTTGGTGTGCACCCACATGGGTCTCCAACACTCTGTGTGTTCTGCTGTCTTGGGGTCATCTTCCTGACTGGGGAGTCAGGTGGTGGTACCAGGAGGTGGTCATCTGCCTGATTGGGAGCCAGGCGGTCGTTCCAGGAGGGAAGTTCACTGTCTCGTCTCTTCATGCAGGCTCTTCCCAACCACGGGCTCCATATGGTATGCTTCATCGCTGCCTTCCTCGTCTCCCTGGTGCTGAGCTGGGTGACCCTATTCTTCCTGGCACAGAGTTGGTGTCTGCAGGGAAGTGCCTGCAGGGATGTGCTGGCCACATGCCGGGTGAGTCTCCCACCCCAGGGTGTTTTGGTCCACAGTGGTGTGAGGTGGACATTTGCCCTCCAGCCTGATGTGCCTTAACTCTGAACCATGTTGGACCTTGCTGAGAAATCTAGTGCTGGACGCTCGTGTCTCAACCTTTTCCAGGGCATTTGTTGGTCCTAAGACACGGTGCCAATGTTAACGCAGAGGCTGGGAATGTAGTTCGGTGGTGGAACGCTTGCCTAGCTGGTATGAGGCCAAATCTCCCAGTATGATTCCCTTAAATTTTTATTTTTACTTAACGCGTAATTGTGTAAATCAGTCAGGCAGAGTGCAATGTGCTGACACATGTACATAGTGCAATGACCAGACCAGACACAAGCATACCCATCCCCTCACATGGTCACCCTTTCTGTGTTGGGGGCATTCCTAGTCTCTTTCAGCTAGTGTGAAATGCATGCTACCTTCCTGGTGACAGAGCCACTGCCCTCTTCCTCCCTTGTAGCCTGGCTTCCGTTGACCTCTTCCCATCTCCTCCCTCCTCCGCTAACCGTCAGGCTACTGCCAGCCTCTGTGGTATCATCGCTTTTAGATTCCACATGTGATGGAGATCACATGGTGCCTGCCTCTCTGTGCTTGGTTTATTGCCAACATAATGTCGCTGAGGTCCATCTGTATTGTGACAGGATTTTGCCTTCATGGCCAAATACCATCCCTTGTGGGTACTGTGCTTGATCTGTTCATTGCTGGTGAACCCTTAGGTTGATTTCATATTTGCATAGTTGAATGGTCTTAACCTGTGGCCAGTTGTAAGAACCTTACATTCTAGCACCTCACCTCTAGCCCTGTTTTGCACTGCTTCCTGCTTCCTGGGATGAAGCCAGTCTCTTGGTCTGGCTTGTGAGTCCTCTATGATCTAACTAGTGCCTCATCCCCTACCACCCCACCCCTCTGGCCATACCAGCCTTCCTGAGGGAGCTGAGCAATTGTTGCTCACAGCTGTGGGCCCTTCCAGGCCCTTCCTCTCCTCCCTGTCCCCTAGTGTCATTCCTGCCCATTCTCTAAGTCTACATTTGGGCATCTGTTTGTCCTGGAAGTCGTCATGGGTCACTTCCTGGTAGGTTAGGGTTTCATCTGTGTCCCCCTCTTGGTTTAGGAGATTCCGTTCAGGACCGTTTAGCCCCGACATTAAACTTGAGCTCCTGGTGAGTTTCCACCCGACCATTCTCTGAGGACTTTGGGGACCAAGCAGATGCAGCCTTGATGCAGAGCTGGACTAATCCTGCCTCGTGTCACTTCTCACACATCCACATCCTCATCAGGGAGCAGCCAGTGCCTTCAAGTCCAGTCAGTCCATCAGGCCAGTTGCTAGTGTCTCCCTGACGGCGTTGATGATAATGATAGATTTTTAATTTTAAGGTGTGTGTGTGTGTGTGTGTGTGTGTGTGTGTGTGTGTGTGTGTGTGTTCATGTGTCTCCATACACGTGGAGGCTAGAGGTAGCCTTGGGTGTTACCCATCTTGGTTTTGAGACATGGTCTCTCACTGACCCAGAACTCACCAATTAGGCTAGGTAGGCTGGCCTGTCTCTGCTCCCTAGCACTGGGATTGTAAGAATGAACCACTATGCCTAGCTTTAAAAAATTATTATTTTTATTTTATGTGTATGAGTGTATTGCCTTCGTGTATGTAAGTGCACTCATGTTGTGCAATGCCCACGGAGGTCAGAAGAGGGAGTCAGATCACCCCAAAATGGATGGTTGTTAGCTGTCATGTGGTGCTGGGAACTGGACCTGGGTTCTCTGAAAGAGCAGCCAGTCCTCTTAACGTCTGAGCCATCTCTCCAGCCCAATACCCAGCTTTTTTATGTGGGTTCTGGGGATGGAACTCAGAACCTCATGTTTGTGGTAAGCTTCCTACTGACAGACCCCCTCCCGAGTCCCAGTAGTGAAGTACTTGTTTTTATGTCTGTATGTATGTTTGTTTTATCCAGTCAGCACCCCCATATTGAAAACATCCTCTTTGCTGAGACACAGAGGCTTGGGCAAGTGCAGTGACTGGTCTGAGTTGGAGACTGCCAACCCCTCTGACTGCACATGCCCGCCTTCCCTCCCAGCATGCATCATTCCTCAGCAGGCCACCTCTACTGACTCAGCACTTCTCCTGCAGGTTCAGCCCTGGGAGAGCAAGGTGGAGCCCTCAACCTTCACCCCAGGCTACGGTTTCAGTGAAGAGTTTTCCCTCAGCGACCAAGTGGTTGGCATTCTGACATCTGAGGACCTTGGGAGCATGCTGCAAGCCTTAGAGGAGTGAGTTCTCAGTCCCTCCTGCCCCCATGGGGGTAATGAAACCTCAGTCCCTCCTGCCCCCATGGGGGTAATGAAACCTCAGTCCCTCCTGCCCCCATGGAAGTGATGAGTGGGGGGCAGTGGGCACTGAATATTCTTGTCTTAATTCAGCCATTCATTCCTCACTCGGTGGTCATAGTGGAATCACTACTAGGCACCAAAAGCATTTGGGGGCAGCGCTGCATTGAGGGATGCACACTGCCTGAGGCAACGCAGTCCCACCCTGTGTGGGAGCCCAGACACAGGAGTGAGCATAGAGCTTGTCAGTGGGCAGGGCAGGCCTGCTGGATACAGAGGGGGAAGAGGCACTTCTAGAATCATGGAAATGCGGCGTGGGAGAGGTAACATTGCCACTCCATTTGATGCTGGAGCAGAAGCTACCATGTGGAGTGAGTGAGGAAAGACTTCAGGCGGAGGGAAGAAGGAAAGGCAGCACAGGATGGGGACCAAGCAAGTGCACCAGGTGAAGTGCGTGCTGGGCGCAGTATTGAGTACGGGTAACAGAGAAGGCATGGCTGGTGAGAGAGGCCGGCCCAGGTGCCGTGGGGGCCTGCTGGGTCAAACTCTGTTTTCTTTCACTGAATGAAGACCTGCATTCTTCTGTCTGTACGATAATAGAACCTGGGACCGGAAAACTGGTTTTAAAATGTTGCAGAATGATCTCAAAGAATCTTCTTAAACATCCTGTGAGACAGGTGTGGGTGTTTGGACCCTCTTTAACTGAGAGGTCACTTTCCCAGGGACACAGACTAGCAGATAGGGTTTCAAGTCAGGTATGGTGCCATACTTGTAATTTCAGTGCCAGCAGTGCCAGAGAGGTGGAGACAGGCAGACCTCTGGGGCTCACTGAGGCGCACTGAGCTAGCCTGGCCCAAGCAATACATTCCAGGCTAGTGAGAGACCCTGACTCATAAAACAAGGTAGAGGTCCAGCTGTCCTCTGGGATACACAAACACACACACACACACTCACTCCCTCACTCACTCACTCCCTCGCTCCCTCACTCACTCACTCACTCACTCACGCACTCCTCACTCACTCACTCCCTCACGCACTCACTCACTCACTCACGCACGCACTCACTCACTCACTCACGCACGCACTCACTCACTCACTCACGCACGCACTCACTCACTCACTCACGCACGCACTCACTCACTCACTCACGCACGCACTCACTCACTCACTCACGCACGCACTCACTCACTCACTCACGCACGCACTCACTCACTCACTCACGCACGCACTCACTCACTCACTCACGCACGCACTCACTCACTCACTCACGCACGCACTCACTCACTCACTCACGCACGCACTCACTCACTCACTCACGCACGCACTCACTCACTCACTCACGCACGCACTCACTCACTCACTCACGCACGCACTCACTCACTCACTCACGCACGCACTCACTCACTCACTCACGCACGCACTCACTCACTCACTCACGCACGCACTCACTCACTCACTCACGCACGCACTCACTCACTCACTCACGCACGCACTCACTCACTCACTCACGCACGCACTCACTCACTCACTCACGCACGCACTCACTCACTCACTCACGCACGCACTCACTCACTCACTCACGCACGCACTCACTCACTCACTCACGCACGCACTCACTCACTCACTCACGCACGCACTCACTCACTCACTCACGCACGCACTCACTCACTCACTCACGCACGCACTCACTCACTCACTCACGCACGCACTCACTCACTCACTCACGCACGCACTCACTCACTCACTCACGCACGCACTCACTCACTCACTCACGCACGCACTCACTCACTCACTCACGCACGCACTCACTCACTCACTCACGCACGCACTCACTCACTCACTCACGCACGCACTCACTCACTCACTCACGCACGCACTCACTCACTCACTCACGCACGCACTCACTCACTCACTCACGCACGCACTCACTCACTCACTCACGCACGCACTCACTCACTCACTCACGCACGCACTCACTCACTCACTCACGCACGCACTCACTCACTCACTCACGCACGCACTCACTCACTCACTCACGCACGCACTCACTCACTCACTCACGCACGCACTCACTCACTCACTCACGCACGCACTCACTCACTCACTCACGCACGCACTCACTCACTCACTCACGCACGCACTCACTCACTCACTCACGCACGCACTCACTCACTCACTCACGCACGCACTCACTCACTCACTCACGCACGCACTCACTCACTCACTCACGCACGCACTCACTCACTCACTCACGCACGCACTCACTCACTCACTCACGCACGCACTCACTCACTCACTCACGCACGCACTCACTCACTCACTCACGCACGCACTCACTCACTCACTCACGCACGCACTCACTCACTCACTCACGCACGCACTCACTCACTCACTCACGCACGCACTCACTCACTCACTCACGCACGCACTCACTCACTCACTCACGCACGCACTCACTCACTCACTCACGCACGCACTCACTCACTCACTCACGCACGCACTCACTCACTCACTCACGCACGCACTCACTCACTCACTCACGCACGCACTCACTCACTCACTCACGCACGCACTCACTCACTCACTCACGCACGCACTCACTCACTCACTCACGCACGCACTCACTCACTCACTCACGCACGCACTCACTCACTCACTCACGCACGCACTCACTCACTCACTCACGCACGCACTCACTCACTCACTCACGCACGCACTCACTCACTCACTCACGCACGCACTCACTCACTCACTCACGCACGCACTCACTCACTCACTCACGCACGCACTCACTCACTCACTCACGCACGCACTCACTCACTCACTCACGCACGCACTCACTCACTCACTCACGCACGCACTCACTCACTCACTCACGCACGCACTCACTCACTCACTCACGCACGCACTCACTCACTCACTCACGCACGCACTCACTCACTCACTCACGCACGCACTCACTCACTCACTCACGCACGCACTCACTCACTCACTCACGCACGCACTCACTCACTCACTCACGCACGCACTCACTCACTCACTCACGCACGCACTCACTCACTCACTCACGCACGCACTCACTCACTCACTCACGCACGCACTCACTCACTCACTCACGCACGCACTCACTCACTCACTCACGCACGCACTCACTCACTCACTCACGCACGCACTCACTCACTCACTCACGCACGCACTCACTCACTCACTCACGCACGCACTCACTCACTCACTCACGCACGCACTCACTCACTCACTCACGCACGCACTCACTCACTCACTCACGCACGCACTCACTCACTCACTCACGCACGCACTCACTCACTCACTCACGCACGCACTCACTCACTCACTCACGCACGCACTCACTCACTCACTCACGCACGCACTCACTCACTCACTCACGCACGCACTCACTCACTCACTCACGCACGCACTCACTCACTCACTCACGCACGCACTCACTCACTCACTCACGCACGCACTCACTCACTCACTCACGCACGCACTCACTCACTCACTCACGCACGCACTCACTCACTCACTCACGCACGCACTCACTCACTCACTCACGCACGCACTCACTCACTCACTCACGCACGCACTCACTCACTCACTCACGCACGCACTCACTCACTCACTCACGCACGCACTCACTCACTCACTCACGCACGCACTCACTCACTCACTCACGCACGCACTCACTCACTCACTCACGCACTCACTCACTCACTCACTCACGCACTCACTCACGCACGCACTCACGCACTCACTCACTCACGCACTCACTCACTCACTCACGCACGCACTCCCGCACTCACTCACTCACGCACTCACGCACTCACGCACGCACTCACTCACTCACGCACTCACGCACTCACGCACGCACTCACTCACTCACGCACTCACGCACTCACGCACGCACTCACTCACTCACGCACTCACGCACTCACGCACGCACTCACTCACTCACGCACTCACGCACTCACGCACGCACTCACTCACTCACGCACTCACGCACTCACGCACGCACTCACTCACTCACGCACTCACGCACTCACGCACGCACTCACTCACTCACGCACTCACGCACTCACGCACGCACTCACTCACTCACGCACTCACGCACTCACGCACGCACTCACTCACTCACGCACTCACGCACTCACGCACGCACTCACTCACTCACGCACTCACGCACTCACGCACGCACTCACTCACTCACGCACTCACGCACTCACGCACGCACTCACTCACTCACGCACTCACGCACTCACTCACTCACTCACACACTCACTCACTCACTCACTCACTCACTCACTCACTCACTCACGCAGAGAAAATATCCCTGAACAGGTGAGGGCTTACAAGCCGAACTGAGCTGAGCAGCACCAGGTTCATGTTCCCGAGTCTGGGAAACTGTGTCCTGGGGCATACAGAGCTGGAGCCAAGGTGCAGCAGCTCAGCTCCTCACTATCCTGGGACAAAAGCTCTTCTGAGTCTGGCTCATGGTATTCTGTGAGCTGAACTGTGTCCTTGCAGCAAGGTCCTCCAGCTCGGGTGGGATTCAGGCCTTTCTTACGTGTATGGCTTAGATAATTAAGCGTGTGCAAGCCATTCGCCAGCCTTTCCAGTTTGCTCAGGTCTCTAATCGGAATACCAAGGTGGGCAGTTAAAATCTGCCACCCTGTCTGGGGAAGGTGAAGCTGGGTGGGCAGTGGGGAGGCAGGCTCCTGGCAGGGATTCATAAAGACCACCTCGTATATGGTGATATGAAAAGGCGATCATCAAAGTGTTTTCTAGCCAAAAGTCAGGGCTCCCCTCCCTCTCCCAAAACTGAGAAGGGAAATGGAATGATTTGATTTGGGCCATAGGCAGCTAGGTGTTGAATTCGCAGGTACCCAGAGCCCCACCCCCTTCTGACCCGATGAGGTGGTGCTTTC